ATTTTGTCACCGGCCTCCCTGTCTCCCGAGGTATGTCCACTATTCTAACCATTGTTGATCGTTTCTCGAAGTCCTGCCATCTGGTTCCCCTCAGGAAACTTCCCACGGCCTTCCAGACAGCCCAGCTGTTAATAAAACATGTTTTCCGGCTTCATGGCATTCCCCAGGAGATTCTTTCGGACAGAGGTCCACAATTCATCTCGCAGGTATGGAAGGCTTTCTGTTCTGCTCTCGGCTGCAAACCATCTCTCACTTCAGGTTACCATCCTCAATCAAACGGCCAGACAGAACGCATGAACCAGCAACTGGAATCCACCCTCCACTGTCTCACTTCCAACAACCCCGTGGATTGGAGTCAATACCTCCCTTGGATAGAATATGCCCACAACTCTCTCCGTTCTGCATCCACTGGACAGTCCCCGTTCCAGGTCAGTCTCGGATACCAACCACCTCTTTTCCCTGCAGATGAGAGAGAGATATCGGTGCTGTCCGTTAACCATCACATCCGTCGCTGCCAGAGGATTTGGAGGGAGACAATCGCCACAGTCAACCGAGTCAGTCAAGCGTTTCGCTGACGCTAAGAGACGCCCCGCCCCTGAGTATTCTGTGGGCCAAGAAGTTTGGCTCTCCACTCGAGACATCTCCCCGAGATTCATTGGGCCTTTCAAAGTTTCTCGCATCATCAACCCCTCCTCTGTCCGTCTGCAACTTCCCCAGTCCCTTCGTATCCATCCCACTTTCCATGTTTCCCAGATCAAACCTGTTTCCTCGAGCCCCCTGTGCCCTCCGTCCGACTCCCCACCACCCGCCCTGGAGGTCGATGGCCATCCGGCCTTCACGGTGCGCCGCATCGTGGACTCCCGTCGACGAGGATGGCAGTACCTCGTCGACTGGGAGGGCTACGGACCTGAAGATCGTCAGTGGGTCCCAGGCTCGTACATCCTCGACCCTGCACTCATAGAGGAGTACGAGCGTTCCTGTCCGTCCACTTCCTCCGGACCGCCAAGGGGCGGTCGTTGAGGGGGGGGGTACTGTTGGGAGCTGGAGAAAATCCCATCTTTCTCCAGCAGAGTCCGCCGTGGATCCTCTGAGGGAGCCTCCTGCACAGGTGCAGCTCATCAAGACCATCAGAGGATCCACTACATAAGCTGCCTTCAGACCTTGCCTCAACGCCGCAGTGTTGTTCCAGTTGGTCAGCGCTAAAGCCTTGCTCCTTGTGAATCTCCATGACTTTGAATCCAGATTGGATTCTAACTTCTCTCTCTGTGTTCCCAGGAAACCCGAGTCTCCTCCGTGAAAGCTCTAGGAGAGCTAACCTGCCGAGCCGACCCTCTGAGCCAAACCCTGAAGACTTTCTGAGAACCCCCAAGCAGCTCAGGACTAGAGCTGGAAAAACCAAACCAAGGTCTGTACGAGCTAGACGTGAGACGCTGAAGCAGCTACGGACTCTGCTGATAAACTCTTCTCCAGAACCAACAGAAACTCCCCCAAGGAGAATAACTCAAGAACCCTCAAGGTACTATCTGAGCTCACTTGAAAACCAAACCCTGCCAGCAGTTCATAACAGCTCTGTCTCTCACGCAGACTCCAGTGAAACCAGGACCCAGGCCCGAACCTGATTCCAGTACACTCTGTGTTTGTGCTTTAATAAACTGTTAAACTTTTATCCTTGTGTCCGCCTTGTGGTGTTCTGCATAACTGGGTCTCCATTTGAGAACCCATCATGACAATTTAGCTTGTTTACCATTGCCTTTGCTAACATAGAAAGTATTTATGCATCAATGTTTCTACTTCTATCTACTTTAACCCCTTAGACACAAGGCAGCTCATGCTAAGCCTGGTTCTACTTAGGGTTTGTTACTGTTAAAAGGGAGTTCTTCATCTCCACTGTTGCTGCATGCATGCTATGTGTGAGGGATTGCTGTAGATTTCATGGCACTATATAAATAAGCTAAATTTAATTGAATATAACGCTGTAAATCAAATGAAGGCTTTGCTACAGAAGCTCAACTGCTAAAGAAAGGTCTGAAAATAAAATTTTGAACTTTGATCTAAACATTTTACACAAGCAGAAGCCTGTTAATAGGAACAATGCATGTATGGAAAAACCAAAAGGGCCACAAATTCTATTCATTACAGAAAAATGGAACAATATCCTAATTTGAAAAAATGAGGTTCGTCATGTGATGGAGACATCATACATTTCTCATTGCTGCTCAGTGGGCAGCACTGCCGCCTTGCAGCAAGAGGATCTGGGTTCGATTCCTGGCCTGGCTCTTTCTGCATGGAGTTTGCATTTTCTCCCTGAGCATGCGTGGGTCCTCTCTGGGTACAGTCCAAAAACATGACCGGTAGGTTAATTGGCTTCTCTAAATTGTCCTTACGTGAGTGTGTGTGTTAATGGTTGTTTTTCTTGTTTGTCTCTGTGTTGCACTGTGATGGACTGGCAACCTGTCCAGGGTGGACCCCGCCTCTCGCCCGGTGGTAGAAAAATGGATGGATGCTACAAAAAAAGTAGTATGTGCTTAAGCAAGCAAAAAAAAAAGTTATTTAAAGTTTTTAGGCACGATGGAATGAATCATCTGTTGCCTAGAGATGGACACCACACACACGATGTTACATTTGATATTCCTCATCCTCAGAAGGAATTGCTTGCAAGAATAATGCAGACTTGAGTGAGAAGAAGCTAATCCTTCGCTGCAGGGTCAGTAGTATGAGTATGAAGAAAATTACAAAATATGTCAGACTATTGGTGAGTATTTCACAGTACCACACAAGCAGGCTGTTCATGTCTCAGAAAAGACTAAAAACCTATATAGTGTAGAAAATCATGATATTCTGGCTTTATTGGTTGTTATATAGTATTAACCACAATAAATGGCCATTGAAAAATTAAATCATGCTTATAATCAAACAGCAAATAATATAAACAATCTGCAAATGTTGATAAGATTAGGGGTAGTTTGTGCATTTCCTAGATTGAAAATGTTTCTCAGTTTCTGGTTTTTCTTTAAATTAAGATTGTATTATTTGTTTTTTGGAAAATAATACAAAATGTCTTTTCTTTCCGGTTTTTGTTTTTCTTTGTCGGTGAAGTCTGGAGAGAGTACAGGAGCAGGTGTCTGACCATTAATTCCCCTTCAGCCCTCATCTCCAGGCTGCGATTCAAGTGCTGGACCTTACTTGAATCCAGCTTTCTATTTCTGGTAATGCAGGCTGACTTTCAATGGAAATAAGAAACATAAAGCCCTGGAAGACAGTTTTTATGTTTCCTTTATTATTAAGGAATAACAACAAAACAAAAATGTAATTATTTGACAAATTTAACATAAGAACCAATACAAATGCAGCATAATTTCACTATAACTTAAAAAAACTAATGGATAAGAAGAGTCATGGCTCCTACTCACAAGTCGTGGGTGTGCTATCCTAAAACATGGGGGTGTTTAAAGCTACAGATATTTCAGCCTGTTTTACAGGTGGTTGCGACATCTCTGCAGCGCTGTCTGCATCTCCTGGAAGGAGCTTTGAATGAATTCCCACCTTCCTAAGCAGCACCACAGCTCACAGCTAAGAAAGTAAAAGCCTATAAAGATTTTTATAAAGTTTCAAAAATGTAATCTGCTCTCAATTTACATTTTGAACATATTATGCATACAGGTTCAATACCACAAGGCCCCCCGTGCTTCACAAATAGGAGTGAAGGCTCCATCTCTGTGCTCCTGACTTGCTTTTTATGTGCCTGTAGATTCTCTAGAAGTTGCTTATGGACCTGTTTCTGTGCTCACATGTCTGTACTGTTACAAGAGGAAGGATTTCCTGGAAAGTAACCAGCCATGGGCAGTTTACTTTCTCCCTCACCCTCAAAGTGGCACATGTTGATAGAGTGGACAGAAACAGGTCCACAAGTGAACAGGTGCATGGAAAAAAAAAAGAGTGAGAAACCCACGAATGCACTCATATTCCCATTCAATAACGACATGGATGTGAAAGCCAGTTGGCGTTTGTAGAGGTTTGAAGGTCAACTTCCTGATTCTTTGTGGATAATCTGGCAGCATAGATTGATGAGCCTCTGCTAGCTGACGTAGCTCTGTTTCCATGCTAAACAGAGTATATTTGAAACAAAGCTGAAGTTTTGTGTAAAAGCATTACAAGTTTTAAGAACAAATATAATAATATTGCATGCAGCTACAACTCAAACTGTACTACAAAACCGCAGGGTTTAAAAGTCTACAGCTCATGATGCATGTTCCCACACTGTGCCACCCAATGCTCTGATGCAAACTACATTCTCACATTGCACGTCCAAAAACCAGACTCGCCAATCTGGAAGAAGAACTCCCTTGTTTGCATATGCGCAGTGCTCGAGGTTTTAGTAAATCGGCTCGTAGCTCTGCAGGATTTGTCCACGAACACCTCACGACCACCGATTGAATTTTAGACATGTTTGATTTTCTACCGACTTTACGATTCCTCATCGGGAGGCGGTCGTGAGACCCTTGTTACCTCTTGTACACTACACAACGAAGGACGTGTAATGTACAGATCATGCCATGAAATTCGGCATGATAAAAAAATTCTCGCACAACTGAAGAATCGGACAGAAAGGGGCAAAAAAATCGAATAGTGTGTGCTTTTCCCAGGGCTAATAAATGAACAAATGTTTCAGTGGCCTGACATTTCTGTTTAAAATATCCCGAACTGAATGATTCTTCCTTGGACAATTATTTAGTCATCACTCTTCCAAACAATTGATAGACCCTAACATGGCCTTTAGAAATTAAAAGAAATATGTTTTTATTGATCTTATGAGAAGAAGCATGTGGCCTCAATACTACATTATTATATTTCATTTTAGATGAACTTATATAAGTGGTCTATGGATATAGGTATCCGTGTGTGAATGGTTGTACATATCTGTGTGGTTTTCTGAATGAGACTACAGTGTAAAAGGGCTTCATAAGCTCATCTCATAATCATGTCAAAATGGCTGTACTTACCTATGACAGACACACAGCCCAGAGGGGCTATAAGTGATGCCGGGGCAAAGCCATAGGCTGCAAAATTCCCCAGTTCCCCAACACCCATAAGGACCACACCACACCACCACAAGGCAGACATGTAATAGGGCTTGGAGCCGCGCTGAGCCTGACGCACATGAGCGTATTTCTGTCACAAAGAAAAGGGAGAAAGGAGTAGTTTTACACCTCACTCAGGCTTAAAAGAGAATCTAAAATTAAATAAACAATAAAAAACAGATCTATTGTGATGTGACTTGATAAACCATAACACCGTCTGTTGATTGGAATCATAATCAGACAGAAGCATGACACCAATTAGGCGAGTCAATGGAGAGGAGAGGACTTTTTACAGGTCTAAGAGCAGAAATATACAGAACACTTAGTCATTATTAATGAATCTGTTGTTTCTGACTAATTATGACAAATTACCCGACTTTTTCAAGCACTGTGATCTCCCCTAGCCCTCCCTCCAATTGCCCTAAACATTAAAGTGTCTGCAAATCAGCCTAGTTTCTTGACTAATTAGAGTCTGATTTAGCAGTCAGAGTATCATACAGGTATAATCCAAGATACAAATACGGGGAAAAGTAACTGTGCATGAAATGAGTAATGCTCTCAGACCACAGACTGCAGAATTTGTCAGCATGATAGCTTAATGGTGTGTGTTTGACTTATAATTATTAACTTACATAAGAAGTTTAGAACAGTTAAAGAAAGAATAAAAAACATTTGAAATACTGTAGTGCCGATGGGCAGGTATGGAGCTAAAACAGCTCGCTCAAGAAAATGTTTTAACTTAAAAAAGTTTCTTAAAAAACGTAAAAAAAAAAATAAAAAAACTGAAAAATATTTTAAAACTAAAACGTATTTTGGAAAATGAGAATAATATATAAAACCAAAAATAAATGTTTAAAACTACTCAGATTTAAGTGCTGTTTTCTTCCTTTTTTACTTTTTTAAGTTTTGAAAAATATTTTTCTGTTTTAAATTATTTATTTTAAGTTTTATAATGTATCCTTTAAAATGTTTTTTTCAATTAAAATATTTTTTTTTAAGTGTAATAACATGTTTTTAAATAAACCTTGTGGCTTTAATTTAGCTCCATAGGAATCACAGGTGAGATAGTTATTTTATAAACATGGGCTGTAAATCGATGTATAATCAGCAAAAGTATGTTAGTTGAACTGTAAAATCAATATTAAGAAAAGTTATTAGAAATGAAATAAGACAAATCAAAAACAACCCTGCAGTTCTGGCATGCAGTGATTCTGCAGCTCTGAGCCTGTTGAGAGGGTTCAGTCAGTGCCTCAGGGAAAGGTTTACAGAAATCTACAGGAACACAGAGCAAACTATAACTGGAAAAAGCCGGTCAAGAAAGATTAAACCAAGCTTTGAGAGGCGTTGCATGCTTCCCGAGTGTCTGCTGCCTTCCAGTCGTCCTTACCTGTATGTTGAGGGAAATGCTGATGAGGACATTCCCACATATGGAGATGATGATTCCCAGGAGATAGTTCTGTGCAAACAGTAAACAGGCAGAAGATTAGGTGATGCTCTACTTGCCAAACAACAACTCCAAACACCCCATAATACTACATGCGAGTCTTATCTCCAGCTGTCGCTTCTGTCACGTCCATGACAACCAGAGAGCATCTTTTTGTTCTCATGCATTAGTGTGCAGCCTCCTGTAGAGCCAAGGCTTATGAGATTTAATAATACCGAAATCCTTATTCCCAAACACACACAAGCCCGTGTGTATCAAGAAGCATTGAACACACAAACATTCCTCACCTTCAAAGTTCTCCCAGGATATCTGACACCTTTGACACAGTCATTGCATATTTGTGATACAGCAATAACAGCAATAACACTGATTCAGGCTTTTTAGGTAAAACATTTGCTCACATGGGGAAGAGGTCTATGTTTATATACAACATGTTTATACAGGAAACAAATAGCTCAGTTGAGTGAAAGGAACACTTTGAAAACACGACCCATCTCAAATGAAAAATACAATTATGTTAGATATCCATGCTGATATAGGGTGTGTAATGTGTTAGGACCAAAAGGATGAAGCATGATTTGATGAAGGTTAAAACCATCAACTCACAGAGGGCTTAATAAGGGGAGCACAACTGGAAAAGTGAGGCAGCAGGCTAGTCCAATTTGCTGAAATGTCATTGCAGTAATTCAGTAGTTTGTATGCCCCTCGCATGCTGGAATGCATGCCTGACAACGTCAAGGCATCCTCCTTATGTGATGACAGACAGTTTCCTGGGGGTGTCTCTTCCGAGATCCTGACAAGGGCATCACTGAGCTCTTAGAGAGTCTACGATGCAACCTGTAAGCATCAGAAATTATGTCCAAGAGGTGTTCGATTGGATTTAGCGGCGAGCAGTAAAGGCCAGTCATTTCAAATCCTTCATTGTCCAACATGTATTCTTACCACCTCAGCCCCGACATTATCAATTCAATTCAATTCAGTTTATTTGTATAGCGCCAATTCACAACAAATGTCCCTACAAGGCAACCAGATCCAACAGTCAAATTGATTGAAACTTTTCTAAGGAAAACCAGCTGATTGCATCGACTCATTTCCTCGAAGACAATCCATCACACCAAGCATGCTTGTAGCGACAAAGGAGAGAAAAACCCTCCGGCAGAACCAGGCTCAGTGTGAGCGGCCATCTGCAGAGGCCCACTGGGGTTCAAGGAGACAGAAGCAGAGGTAGAAAAAGAAGCAGGGATACAAAAGGCAACCGCAGCTCCACAGGCAGCCCCGTCCAGGAAACACACAGCCAGGCAGATAAGCTCTGAGCCAGCCCCTATGTCAGCAGATGAAAGAGAGCACAACATCTATCAAGCACTAGGAGGAATCAAGGACCCATTGCAATAGCAAGGCGGACGTTTAAGATGAGAGGGTTGGGAGCAGTAAAACCCCATGATAATGACCTTTGTACGAAGAATTGTAGGCCTCTTGTGGCAGTCAGGGTGCCAATGGTCTGAGTATCAATGCCCGACACTGACCCACCACCAAATAGATCATGCTGGACAGCGTCGTAGTCAGTATAACATTGCCATCAGCTTTGACAGGCCCATCACGTCTGTTTCATAAGCTCAAAGTGAACCTTCTCTCATCTGTGAAAATGACACGACTTGAGACGTTCCCTCTGTTACCTTATCACACAAAGGAAAATACAAAATACAGCTAAAGGGTCAGGAATCTCAGGTGGCCTTGTCCAGCTCTCCTACGCTAGCTGCCTGTTTTCTGGAATCTCCTTCAAGCTCTTTAGACTTTGCGTGAAGGCACAGCAAACATTCTAGTAAGGAGAATGTGCCTTGATGTGCCTTTGTAGTTTCATGCTTTTTGCTACCAGTAGTGATACCAATCCTTGTCAAATGCAAAAGTACAGAAAATCTGTTAAAACAAATGGGAAACAAAAAATCTAAACCTCCTGGGATGTGTAAAATAAGTTTTTACGGTCATAAAAGTACTGCTGGCTGCAGGAGCAAAAACATTTTAAAGGAATAAAGAGTCCAAACAACTTGTGGGTGGAATATAAACAATGGGAGCTAAATATATAAACCCAATAGTGATAGAAGCAGACCCAGCAAAACAGCAACATCTGTTTAAATAAGCACTATGAGGGCAATGAAGGAAAAAGATGCAAAGATGGAGACTTAAAGGATATTCAGCTGAGCAGGAGAGAAAATAAAGAGGATAGAAGCAAGGGGTTAAACAGAGAGGGTGAAGCACCATGAAATTAAACATGAAGAAGAGGAGAGAGCTTTAATGTTAAGATTCAGTAACCTGACTCCGCCAGATGGATTTGCTCCGCATATCCATCTGAAAACCTTCCGTAGAAGTAATTTTGGGAAGGGGCGAAAATACTGGTTAGCTGATTGGCCTATGTTGGTGATAGACGGGCCAAATAAACAGACAAACAAAAATCAGATCAACAAAGCATATGACGTAACAGAGCAACGACGAAGAGGAGCCAATTGATAGATCAAACTCTTGCCGAAACCAGTCGGGAGAAGAGCAAAAACATCTTTTCCTCTGAGAAAAGCCTCCAGAGCAGTGTTTTGCTCTTCTTTCAGTGAAGAAATACTTTGAAATTCCGATAAAACAAACGCTAGTTTCATCAGCTGAAGCCGCCATGTTCTTTAGACTGAGCTGTTGCGCTTCTCGTTGTGTCACACCTCAACCCGCCTTAAAGCCAACGCTGATTGGTCATTGGTTTCGAATGGCTCCAATTTTTCTTCAACGGAGAGTCTCCAGACTGATTAGCGAGTGACATCTTGAAAGCTCGCGAGATCAGGATGGTCTCACGTGGCTAAAGATTCAGTGGTCCAGCAGGATATTATCAATTTGACCCCACTACTCTACCATAAGACATGAGTTTCTATAAAACCTGAAATAAAGGAGATCAGAAGTAAATCTCTGATGGCGTTGTTAATATGAACACTAGCTAGCTTTAAAATGACATAAGCAATCGGAATAGACAGCTGACTGGACTGAAAACATGTCATGCAAACATGCAGATCCAGATATTCTGACCAGATTTGTTAATGTCAGGATTTAGTTGTGGTTTGGAGGACCCAAATGCAGAGGCAGGGAGGCTGAGGAGATTTCTAGGAGTTTTAATGGGGCAAAAACAGTAAACAAAGACAGGAATCCAAAAATCCAACTAATAATGAAAAGCAAACCAGAACTATGGAGACATCTGGGGAAACCAAACACGAGGAGCCAGGGAGAGACGAGGTAGGTAGACAACAGCATGGGAGAACAGCAAAGACAAGGAACAACAAGGTGTGACAGCAGAGGGAGAGTATAAATAGCTGACTGAGACAAAGGCAGGGCTAACAAGCTGACAAGGAGCAGGTGTGAGAGGAGAAAATGAGGGAGCCAAGGGGAAAGGAACACACACACACACAAGAGTTCAACAGAGGACAACAGAAAAACATGAGAACTAACATAAATCTAGAAATTACAACAAAACTGGAATTTCACCAATAAAACTAGAAAACAACGAGCAAAGTAAAGTACAACAGAACCAAGACCATGACAGTTAAGACAGGTCTTAAATCCGACCAAGAGCATTGGTTTATGCCAGTAGATAATCCAAAAGGCACACACGCTTGTCAGGATCAAGTTATTCTGAATAAGTGACCTAAGTGCTTAGGTGTGCCTCACCTTAACATGAAGTATTTCTACAATATGATCTGACAAGAATTGTAAGGGGCATTGCAGGCTAACAAAAGAAGCTAAACGACCCTCATCCCAAAGGGATGGTCCCATTCGTCCGTTCCAATTTGCATGTTTTCTAAACAAAAACAAGGCTTTGTTGGGCTTCTGTATAAAACCTCGAACGCAACGCTATTCCTGACATTTTGAACAGAAAAAACTTCCTGGATGGGAAGCGAAACATCTTCAAACTTGGAAACAAAGTCCAGTGGATTGTTTTTCAAATCTTTTGGAAATCTTCAAAGAAGTTATCGAAATATTCGAAATGATGTTTGTACGACCCAAATTTAGTCCAAAGGTAGATATAAATGGTAAAATAAGATTTTTTTTTGCTTTCAATTGGAAAACATGTTAATCTGATCATGTAATTTTGTGCATTTAAATATAGATGTTGTCAGGATTTTGTTTACAGCAACTGAACCGTTATAGAGTACATAGAAATGTGTCATAATACCTTCAGCTTTACAACATGTATAAATCTTCAATTTTAGAAAAAAATAAGGTTTATTTAATTACACATATACCCAATTACTTTTTTAAATATGAGATGGAGACATTCTGCAACTGATAGGATAAAGATTCCTTAAAGTATGTAATTTATTAGTTGTCTATAATTTAGCAATATCATATTGCAATACAATCACATTTTCTTAGAGGAAGTATGATATACTCCACAAGTAGCGGTAGACCTTTACAAACAAGAGAGAAACAGCCTCATTTTCCATGTTTACTGTCTCCCAAACATGTTTGCAACGAGCACTAGTTCTTATGGCTTTCTTTCAACAATGGCTTTCTTCTTGGAAGTGAAACAACTAATAGCTGTTGAGCTGGCAGATTCTCACAGCACTGTCGTGGATCTCTGTTCTCCTGAGTTATCATTGGCTTTTTGTCTAACTCTTTGTGCAACGCTCTGAATCAAAGGATTGTCAGTTTAGGTGGACGGCCTTTTGGATGATGAATTAGTTCTCTAACAAACTTCTATACTGAGCTTAAATATCTGGCAGTCGCCTTTAATTGGCTGATAAAGTGATTTCTAAAAATAACTGGTTGGACTTTATGTTTGGATATTAGAGTAAAAGGTTCCAAATGCAAAACACACACCACGGTTTTCATTTTTCAAAAAGATGTGAAAAGCATGTATCTTTTTGGTCTATTATTAAAAATTAAAAAATACAACAAAAACAATAGCAGGAATCGAAGATAATTAGGAGTAACCTGAAAAATATGAAAAAAGTTCAAGATGTGGAAATGGGGGCATGTTTGCTGGT